CTCTGCACGGTGTTGAGCAGCTGCCTGGCCTCCAGCCACTCGATGCCACGAGCACCCTGTCCCCCCAGTTGGGACAACCAAGAACGTCTGCCATTGGTGACAAATGTCTTGGGCACACAGTGATTCTAGGTGAGGACCCCTGCCCTACTAGCTGCCTTGTCTGCAAAATGCCACCATCCTGGCTGGGACTTTCAGTATCACAGTAAGTGTTTTGATCATGAAACATTTAACTGTAGAGACACGCTGGTAGAATGTTCCATATAGTTAATTATCCAGATAACCTACTGCCTTAATCTACCTGTTTTTAATGTGCTGCCCTAGTTTTCTGTTTCTACTTGAAAATAAGTGGTTTTTTTGTCACTGGATCATTGCTACTAGCTGCCTTGTCTGCAAAATGCCACCATCCTGGCTGGGACTTTCAGTATCACAGTAAATGTTTTGATCATGAAACATTTAACTGTAGAGACACGCTGGTAGAATGTTCCATACAGTTAATTATCCAGATAACCTACTGCCTTAATCTACCTGTTTTTAATGTGCTGCCCTAGTTTTCTGTTTCTACTTGAAAATAAGTGTTTTTTTTGTCACTGGATCATTTGAAAGCAAGTCACAGACATTTTGACATCATCTCTAAATACTTTAATATGCATCTCCTCAACAAGGACATTCCTTTACGTAACCATGGTAGTGTTTTATGCCTAAAAAGTAATAATTTCCTCATGTCTACTGCCCAGTCCATACTCAAATTTGCCTGTGTCCTAGAAGTGTCTTTATAGGTGTTCTTTTTCAAATCAGGATCTGTTGTCTCTCTTTTTTTTTTTTTTTAAAGTTGACCAGTAAGGGGATCTTAACCCTTGACTTGCTGTCGTCAGCACCACGCTCTCCCGAGTGAGCCACGGGCCGGGCCTAGGATCTGTTGTCTCCTAATCTACAGCAGTCCTCCCACTTTTTCCCCGTGACATTTTTTACTTCTTGTTATTAGAAATTGCAAATATTTACAGAAGTAGGGAAAATTAACGAGTATCCGTGCCCAGAACCGGTGGGTCTTAACTCAGGGATCATGACGACTTTCTGAAGTGGCCAGGCCATTGTTGGGAGAACGTCCTGATCTGCTTGGGAGGTATATTGAGAGTCACTGATGCTGTGTGTTTAGCACGGGGGGCGCGGCTGGTGGCTGTGTCAGGTCTTATTCGGTGGGCTCATGGTGTTGCTGAGAAGACAGAATCACGACAGAACCCTCACAAGCCAGAGGAGCAGGCTGCGGGTGTGCGATGGCATCACGGCACCCCTGGCTCTCAGGTGCCGGCCTCGGGTCAACATGCCCTGAATCCACTTGGCTCTGTCACTCAGCACCCTCGTCCCTGGCCCCAGCTCTTCTGCCTCATGCTCTGGCCCCTGCCTCCACCCTGGCTGAGCTGCCAGCACACTGCCCTGCCCAAGTGGGGTTCCCAGCCCTGATCCACATTCACTTCCTCCCTGTGTGAAGAGCTTGGGGCCCCTGGGAACGGTCGCCTGATTCCAGCTCACTCCGCCACTTTTTCCGCCCTTTTCTCTTGGAGCAGCCCCTCCCTCCTCCCAGCACAGGTTGTTTCCAGCCACCCAGGCCTGTCTCCTGCTCCTCAGAAGCACCCTGTGCTATCCTGGCTTCAGGCCTCTAAGGATGCTGTGTCCTCAGCCTGGGAGACGTCCACCAGTGTCCACGGGAAGTTCCGCTTACTGTCCCACGTGGTAGGGTCCCTCTTTCCCCAGTGCTGCCCCGGCTGGCCCTGCAGCTCTGTCTGTGGTCCCCGGTGCACACTGGGCCCATTGTCCTGCTCCTCCTCACGTGCAGGGCTTGTTTAGTGGGCGTGTGCCTTCGACGGTGCAGAGCTGCGCCAGGGGCCATGAGGAGGGGACACAGGCCCGTCTCTCCCTGCTGGACGCCTGCTGCTGTTGCAGACCCTCGTGTGCTTGATGAGGTGGGAGGTGGGGGGATCCCAGCCTGGAACTTGCTGCCTCTCAAACACTTACGTCCAGATGCCGACGTTCTGAGCCTCTCCTCTCAGCGCGTGGTCACTCTCAGTCTGTTTCTGTTGCTTATACCAAAATACACAGAACTGGGTAATTTATAAAGAAAACAAAATTTATTCCTTACAGTTTCAGAGGCTGGGAAGTCCGTGGTCCAGGGAATACATCTGATGAGGGTCTTTTTCAGTGGTGGCTTTACAGCAATGCAGGGGTCTCATGTGACAGAAAATGGCAGAACAGAGAGAGAGAGACTATCACCTGCTGTCCTTTTAAAACTCTCAGAACCACACCCCTGACCACCATTTTTAATCCATCCACTCCTGCATGGTCCTACAATCCAATCACCTCTTCAAGGCCCCACCTTTCAATTCCCATAATAGGATTTCCTACCCTCTTAACAGTCACAGTGGGGGCTGAGTTTCTAATACATAAAACTTGGGGGACACAATCCAAGCTTCAGGGAGTTTGGGGGGACATAATCCAATCCACTCCCGTCACATTTGCCCACTCCCTGGTCCTTCTTTCCTGCTGTGCATGCCCCGACACCAGAGGTGGCCAAGGTCGAGGACGGCAGAGCGGCCGGCAGGCGCTTGCGATGCGTCTCTGTCTCTACTGCAGCTGGCCTGGCCCGCTATCTGCCTGTGGCTGTCCTTGCTGCCAGGGTTTTCCTTGAGCAAGAGCTCTTGCTGTGTGTGGCCTTGCCGAGCAGAGGTTCCTATCAGCTCCTGCCCTCCTCTTGGGACAATAGGTCACGGACCTTTTCCTTTGACTTTTGTGTTGTTTTGCAGTCCTTGAAATTGTCTGCAGGGCTCTGTGTCTTCGCCAGAAAATGATTGAAAAATCAGTTACTTATTCGGTCCAGTGTCCATGATAGTATTGTTGACATCTGTGCTGGCGGTTGTGACTTGCTGTGCACAGTCCTTTTTTCCCTACACACTGACTTGTTGGAAGAACTCACACCTGGGGCTTTGCAGCTGAGGTTGTTTTAAGGCCCCGTGGTTAGTGAGCTTGCGGACCGTGGCTGCTGCGCGCGCAGGAGGGCTGTGGCGTTGCCGTGGTCGCATGCACCAGGCAGTGTGCTGTGGGAAGGGCCCGCTTGGTACACTCTGGCCTCCTCCAGGGAGGGCTTCCCAGGGCCCCTGCCGCTGGGGTCTGTGAGTTCCCGGTGCCTTCGTTTGTTTTTGGAACAATGGCCTACGCGAGGGCCGTTTCTGCTGTGTGGGCTCGCACCTTACAGTCACACTCCTCCTCCTGCTCGGGTGGCCGAGCATTCTTGACGCTTCCTCCCGCGGTGAGGACTGCCTTCCTGTGGCTGCTGGTCAGCGGTCTCAGCAGCAGGAAATAGTAAGCGACACATCCCAGGTGCCACCAAAAGAATGGCAGGGCAGGGATGGTGGCAGGAGGTGGGTCTTGTCACAGATGAGCCGGATCATGGTGTTGTCTCACAGTCAGAGACAGTGTTTTCAGCAACCTGTTGGCACCGGAGGCACAGCCCCTGGGTTAAGCTGTGTTTAGCCTTTCCTTCTTCCTGTGACAGTCTGACTCTCAGCCTGGGGCTCCTGCCAGAAAGCGCTGGCACCTCTGACGGCGTGTTTGGGGAGGCACAGCGTGCCCGCCTGGACCCCGGGCCTGTGAGTGCGGGGCGGCCGCCGGGCTGACCCCGCACTGTGGGCTCTCGTTGCAGCTGCGGGTTTGCCTCCTCCACGCCGCTGCGCTGCGGAGCGGGCAGAAGCCCCGGCCGCCCCCCGCCGTGCTCTTCACGAGAAGCTTCCTGCTCCCGCCTGCAAGGTAACAAGTCTCGGCAGCTGCAGCGTGGCCGTGCCGCTCTCCAGGCAGGGTGGGCAGCCTCCCGCGGGCGCCGTGGTGCAGGTGGAGGGCCCGAGGCTGGGCCTCCTCCCGGACCCGCCCGAGCCACCATGCACTTGGTCCACGGTGCAGGGCACTGAGACCCAAGACCACCAGGGACCCAGCCCATGCAGAGTCACGCTCCCGGCACAGACAGCTAGCAAAGCAGGGAGAATGGGGCAGGGCCACGGCTCGGAAGAGAAGCGACAGCTGGTGCTGCTGCAGAGTGCGGGGGGTGGGGCAGGTGCGACACAGAGGTGGGAGCAGCAAGAAGAGGTCTGGGCAGAGGGTCCTTGCAGAGGGGAGGGCCGCTGCCGGGCAGTGGCCAGGCAGGCGGGCATGAGGTAGGACGGCGGCGGAGGCTAGACCCAGGTTGGAGGGACAGGCGTGGCAAGCGCACCTGGCGCTCACTCCTGACTCGGTCAGTGTGGCGAGGCTCCTTCCGGCCAGTGTGTGGCAGACCCTGGGTCTGTGGGACGGACACGCCGCTGGGTGAGGAAACAGACGGATGCCCGAGCACCTGCTGCACCCAGCAAGTATTAGACTCCTGCTATATTCAGCATGTGTGGAGCTCCTGCTGTATCCACTGAGCATTTGCTTCTTGCTCTATTCAGCATGTATAGAGCTCCTGTATTCAGTATGTACAGAGCTGCTATTATGTTCAGCAAGTATTGGGCTCCTGCTGTATTCAGTATGATGGAGCTCCAGCTATACTCAGTGAGTATGGAGCTGCTGCTGTATTCAGCAATTATTGGGCTCCTGCTGTATTCATTGTATTTGGAGCTCCTGCCATATTCAGTGAGTTTTGGGCTCCTGCTGTGTCCAGCGTGTGTGCAGCTCTACTCTTCCTTGTTTTGAATTCTCAGTTAATTGAGAGTGTGCTGACCTCAGCGTCTCCCCTGATCTCTGCTGTCCTGACACTTACAATGCAGATGAACCATTGGTGAGCTAGATAGTGGTTCCATACGGTGAGTGTAGGTGGCCCTAGTCCCATGTGGCTCACAGGCCTGCCCTGGAGTTACTTCTAATCTAGCTGAAGGGTCACGTCTGCATCCTCTGGCTTCGTGGCTGGGGCCTCCAGACAGCCCGAGGTGAGGTCTGCCCCTGAGGCCCACCAGGCGTCCATGCTGCTGTGGGACTTGGAGAAGGGGACTTTGGTGTGGGGGGTGTTTTCTGGTGACCACATAGTCTGGACGGCCATGCAGACATGAGAGAGTGGCTTGTGGGGAGGAGAGGCCAGTAGAACCCACCGACCAAGCAGGTCAGCACCCCCAGGCTGCATGCCTCCGTCTCCCATCAGGTCCTGGAGACCCGTGCCCCTGTGGAGGAAGGTGCTGTCCGCCGCGGTGGTGGGGGTGCCCCTGCTCCTTGGCATCCGCTATTGCACGGCAGAGGCCCAGGAGAAGAGGAGGATGCGGCTGGTGGTCGACGGCCTGGGGCGCTTTGGCAGGTAGGAGGGGGCGGTGGCACCTGCGGTGGGGCAGCCTTCTCCCCAGCTGTCCTCACAGACATGGGCCCTTGAGCAGGGCTGGGAGGGGCTGCGGGGTCTTGCTGGGAACCTCACAGCTGCCTGTCAGGCATCTTTGCTGTGCAGGAAGGTGCTGCCTGGTGGGGCAGTGAGCACTGCCAGGCCACATGCAAGGTGTAGACAGCGGCCCACACACCCCTCCCTAGGTCAGCCTTGGCCTGTTGGGGGTTCTGGCCACTGGCTGGCGTCCCCTCCCCCCGGCCTCCTGGTGGGGGGCGGGCAGACAAGCCGCTGCCCCTCGTCCTCTTCTCTTCTCTTCTCAGCCCCCGTCCCCAAGCAGAGCCGGCATCCCAAGCAGAGGTTTGGGCCTGGGAGGAAGGGCTGCATCCACTCCTAGAGATGGGACATCAGGTCGTTGGGTCAGGGCACTGACACTGAAGGCCCTTGTCATAGTCCTGTATCTTGCGGTGCAGAGTTTGGGAGGGGGCTGCTTCCTGTGGGGCGCCTCGGGTGGCTGTTCCTGCTCTTGGTCAGATCCAGGAGCTCCTGCAGCCACCAAGTCCTGCCCAGCCTGAGCCTCATGGGAGCCAGCTCTTGGCATAGAGGTGTCTGTTGACCGAGAGCCCCCTTGAGCTGTGGGGGCAGGGGGCTGGTGGGGAATGTGCTCCTGCTCCACCCGGCTCTGGCACCTGCTGCCTCCCCACGCTGGGGTCGATCTCCTGCATTTTACCAGAAGCTTCACTGAGTTTTACTGTAGTGGTGGCCATAGAGGTGTGGGTGGCCGGATGCTTGAAGATTTCCAGCCTCTAGGGCAAAACAATCGTCGCCTACACCCGCCTCCCTGGCAATTGGTTTTGTTGGGTCTCCTGCTGGTCCTCATGTCCCACAGGGCTGTCTGGGGCAGTGAGGGCAGAGCCTACAGTCCTCTGTCTTTTCTCCCATGACCCCCCATAGCACTGCGTGCAGGGGTGCGCAGGGCGGCTGCAGACTGCACGTGCGGGTCCCCGCGGCGGGCCCGCCCTCTGTGCCCTCTGTGCCCTCTGTGCCCTCTGTGCCCTCTGTGCGTGCCTGAGGGGAGCCATTCCCACAGCGCGCTCTCGCCTGAGCTGGGCTAGCAGGGAGGGAGAGAACTGTGTTGTCATGTGTCTTGTTGCGTCTGGCTGGCAGAGGGAACCAAACCCTTGACCTTGGTGTGACAAGGTGGCACTCTAACCAACTGAGCTGCCCGGCCAGCCAAAGATTTTCTCCTTTTGAGATATTTGAGAATAAGCAGTCGACGTGGTCTGTCGTTCCTGAGTCCTTCAGGGTGTGTTCCCTGGAACAAGGGTGTTCTGCGTCGCCACAGCCAAGAGGCTCATGCCCTGTGCTCCCCTAACCGCAGACCTGCTCACAGCCACCAGGTGCCCCAGTAACGTCCTTTCTAGAAGAAGGATCGGCCCAGGCCTACACGTGGCCCTCAGTCCTCACATCTCTGACCTCATCCAGTCTGGAGCAGTCTCAGTGTCTTCTTGGCTTCCATGACTACCTAGAGTTGGCTGAACTTGAGGTTAAGGGTACAGTCCTCCAGACGGCCACATTTGCCCAGGATTTCTGATACCAGTGGCAAGTTTGGGGGTCCCCAGGGCCACCCTAACTTCAGGCCAGCTGGCTTACAAATTTGGGGAAGCCACGAATCGCCTTAGTTTTGATAGTTCTCTAGAATGACTCACAGAACTTAGGAAGGTGCTATACATATGATTGTAGTTTTTCGATAGTAAAAGGGCAGAAATTAGAACCATCCAAAGGGACAGACACATAGGGTGAGATCCAGGAGAGTCCCAAATTCAGAGCTTTCATGTCCTCAGAGGCACGCTGCCCTCCCGTAACCCATGTGTGACAGTACATGGAATACTCCCGACCTGGGACGCTCACCTGAGCTTGGGGGTGTCCGGCACTTTCTCGGGGTGTGGATGTGAAGGTGGATTAACTGACCCACTGGCCACGTGCTTGATGCAGTCTCCAGGCCCACACCTTCCCCTAAAGCCCAGCCCTGCCATCACGTGCTTCATCTTTCTGGCTGTCATTAGCAAAAACTGTCAGGGCCCACCATGAATAACAGACACTCCTGTCGGTCAGGCTCTTCCAAGGATTTAGGGGAACCGGAGACAAAGGCCAGACCTCTGCGGGTGAAGTGAATGCTTCATTACACAATGATCTTTACGTATTTGGAGATTATATGCTGGTCGTTATGTTGTACAAAAGAAGTCAGCAAACTGTGGTCCTCGGGCCCCACGCAGAGAGCCAGTGTGGCCGCCGCCTGCCACCTACGTGAGGCTTGATTGGAACACAGCCCCTCTGCTTGTGCAGGGCTGGGGCCGCTTCCCTGCAGGGCCGACAGAGGCCAAGTGGCCACAAAGCCTAAAACACTTACTGTCTCACTGTTCACAGGAAACTGTCACCAGCCCCGATCCCTCAGTTTGGGTTTGTCTGGTGATTGCTCGTGGTTGGGTTCAGTCAATGTGTTTTTGGCAGGAGTATCGCAGCAGGGACGCTGTGTTCTTCCCCGGCAGGTGGCACACCACTCCCCATTTGGTTCCCTTGTGGTTAATTAGTGTTCTGGGGGGACTCGAGGCTGTGTCGGCGTCTCTTCTCACTGCGCCTGCCCACCGGTGCAGTGTCCCCTGATGCCACCCAGTGAGTTGTTACCGCGATGGTCACCAAATGGTTTTTCTAATTCAGTCATTCCTTCAACGTTTATTGGGTGATATCCTACAGTAAGAAAAAGTTTCTGTCCTTCCATTTATTTATTCCATTTATTTATTCATTAATTTATCCCTGTTATTCTAGGCTCAGGGATTTGTTTCAGTTAACATCGTTATTACTATGTAAATAGAGGGAGCCCTTCATACTGGCTTTTGTGTCTTCTCCCACCCCCTTTTCAGTGGTTTAATTTTATTTATATCTTTTTTTTTTTTTTTTGGCAGCCTGCGGGTATGGGGATCCGAACCCGTGACCTTGGTGTTATCAGCACCATGCTCTCCCAAGTGAGCCACGGGCCGGCCCTTATTTCTTTCTTGATGGCTAAAGCTGGGTAACACCTTGTATTAGTCCATTTCTATTGCTTATAACAAAATACATGGAACTGGGTAATTTATAAAGAAAACAAAATTTATTGCTTACAGTTTCTGAGGCTGGGAAGTCCAAAGTCCAAGGAACACATTTGGTGGTGGCGACAGTGACCCAGGGGTCTCAGATTGCAGATGGCGGAAGCAGAGCGAGCAGAGACAGACTCTCTCTTCTTTTAAAGCCCTCAGCTGCTTACAGTTTCTGAGGCTGGGAAGTCCAAAGTCCAAGGAACACATTTGGTGGTGGCAACAGTGACCCAGGGGTCTCAGATTGCAGATGGCGGAAGCAGAGCGAGCAGAGACAGACTCTCTCTTCTTTTAAAGCCCTCAGCACCACACCCCCTGACCACCATTTTTAATCCATTCACTCCTGCAGGGTCCTACAATCCAATCACCCCTTCAAGGCTCCACCTTGCAATGACCATATTAGGAACTCCCACCCTCGGCAGTTACAGTGGGAATTAAGTTTTGGGGGGACATTCAACCCAAGGCACAGCTGTTACAAGGCTGGGTCATAAGTCCTTTCCTTTGAAGTGGGAGGGAAGACAGAGAGAGAGCAAGCCTGTCTCCCCACTTCAGTCTCTCGTCCCCAGACCGCGTGCGGGCTTCGTTTCCTGCAGAGGGCACGCCAGCTACAGGGCAGGTGCAAAGCTTTGCAGCCCTGTCCTCCCCAGGAAGCAGATGACCTGTGGGAATCAATTCCACTTGATGATACTTTCAAGCATTACTGTGGATAGAAGCAAAGTTCCAAAGATGTCCCTGTTTCCAAGTTAGTCAGCGTCTCTGTCTCCGGATGCGGAGTTCAACTGGGTCCTGGCGCCTCGTCCCCCGCACAGGGCCGGTCCCCACCATGCCCCTGCCGTTTTTGATGTCCAATATTAAATTGTGAAAAAAATCAAACATAAAGCAAAGTTGGGTGCTTTGCAGCAATCCACACGTGCCCACCCCGGGTTTACGTTAACATTTCCGTTCTTGAAGTGGCTCCGTCTTCTGAGCATCTTGCTCCTCCTGGCACTGCAGGGCGCTGCAGGCTCATCTTGCCCTGCTCAGCCCTGGAGTCAGCTCTTCTCCAGGGAGCCTGGTGCCTGCGCGTGGAGAGCGGTCTCAGCGGCTGCGATGTGGTGCTGCTGTGCCCGGGCCGCCCCTGCCCGCATGTGCCCTTCTGTGTCTGCCTCAGGTCGCAGGAACCATGGGCTGTCGCAAACGCCTCCCGCTGCCAGCGCAGAGCTCACCCTGGTCCTCTGCCTTCTGAGTTGGTAGCTTCCTCCTCCAGCTGGGAGAAACTGGGCTTCAGTGCGCGACTCAGTTGCCCTGGTATGGCTGCCACCCTCACCTCAGCGCGCTGAGCCAGCCCTTGCTCGGCTTTTGGACCGAACCAGAAAAGGGAAGTCTCCAGGCTCCCCGTGCCAACCGCGTGCGCCCTTCCTCACAGGCGGGCACAGTTCCCACCAGTCCCGTCAGGCCGGGTGGGAGGAAGGTCATGTGGACTGTGTGGCAGGCACGCTTGTCGCATCTGTGACGATGGGGACGGCCTGCACCCTGGCAGGGCAGGATGTTCTTTGGAATAGCAGCCTTTTCCTTCCCAGCCACCAGCTGGAATCAGATCACCTTTTATTCCTGGCTCCTCCTGTGGTAGAGGTGGCAGGAGCAGGACCCTGCTTAGAGCCAGGCACGGAGGGGAAGGGACCTCTGGCCCCAGGTCCTCACAGGGCTTCTGTCTTGAGTAGCAGGACCCCCCGCAGCTGGAGACCTGATCCCTTGCAGTCCCGACCCAGGGTTCCCATCCGTAGCCTGGGGCATAGGAGGTGAGTGAGGTCTCCTGCCAACACCAGAGGAGCCTGGTCCTCCCAGGCCTGTGCAGCAGTGAGGCCCCAGTGCTGAGATTCCTGCTCCATTGGGGCTCCTGTCTGCAGAGGTGCAGGAGCAGGGCCAGGAGCACGCAGGTCCTGGAGGAACAGGGCCACAGAGGCCCTGTGCCGGATCTCAGATGGGTTTCCTATAACGAGCATGCATTACTTTAGTAGTCATAAAAGTAAAAGAATGAAAAACCCATGCCTGGTGGTCAGGCCCACCCCGGTACAGCCCCCAGCCCACCTCCCTGCTCCCCGCTGGCCCCGCCTCCTTTGAGTCCTACAGTGCCCTGAAGCCACGTCTTTTTTTTTTTTTAAAAGATGACCAGTAAGGGGATCTTAACCCTTGACTTGGTGTTGTCAGCACCACGCTCAGCCAGTGAGCGAACCGGTCATCCCTATATGGGATCCGAACCCGGGGCCTTGGTGTTATCAGCACCGCACTCTACCAAGTGAGCCACGGGCCGGCCCTGAAGCCACGTTTTCTAAAATTAAGTCCCTCCCCCCAGCAGCAGAAGTCTATGGGATTTTTTTCAGATCTTTAATTTTTGTTACAAAAGTATATAGTATGTTTACTATAGAAAACAAATTTAATACTAGAAAAGTTAAAAATGTAGAAAGCTCCCTTTTACCCTCCCCTAAGGGAGGAAATTCTCAAAGAGTTTTGTCAGTGCACGTGGAGCGTGCCAAGTCCACAGGCTGTTTAACGTGTGCAGATATAACCTAACACACTCGAGTGTGCCCCGGCCCCTGCCCTTGGAGGCCCCTTGTGCCCACCCTGCAGTCCACAGCTAAACTCGCGTGGTAGAATATTTACAGCACTCTAATAGCTAAATAAACAAACACATTTAGATTTGTAGTTAAAATTGCTAATTTCCTCCTTTATTTTCTTTCTAGTTGCTTCTCTCTCTGTCTCTCTCTCCCTCTCTCTCTGATTCGAAGTAGTTTTTGGACTTTTCCCCCCATTTACTTGTGTCTTTAGTGCTTGATTTTAGAATCTAGAGAGGAGGGGATGTATCCATCAGAACTTTCAAAAGAGAAGAGAGATAGGTTCTGTTCACAGAAATCTTTTTTTTTTTTTCTTTTATATGACTGGTAAGGGGATCACAACCCTTGGCTTGGTGTCGCCTGCACCGCACTCAGCCAGTGAGCGCACCGGCCATCCCTATATAGGATCCGAACCTGTGGCGGGAGCACTGCTGTGCTCCCAGCGCCGCACTCTCCCGAGTGAGCCACGGGGTCGGCCCAGTATTAACTGTTTCTGATGTGACTTTTCTTGACCTGTGTCAGAACTGCTGGCTGTGTCGTTTAGACTTTTCCTTCTCCAGGTGACAAATCATTCGTGTTGGGTCAAGTGCAAACAAGCACAGATTTCTCTCTGGTACCCAGCCCTGCAGGGGTGTGCATGGTCCCCGAGGGTGCTGCTGGGGTCTGCTCACGTGTGTGTGCCTGTGGTTGGGGGTGGATGGGGCAGTTTCTCATAGGACGATCAAGCCGGTTCACAGGCCAGGGTCGTCTGGTGCTTCCCTTCCTGGGCAGGTGCTGTGGATGTCAGCATCGGCTGGTCCCTCCCAGTAGCCAGTTAATTTATTTAGTGTTTTTAAGGTGTTGGCTCCGTGCCAGCTAGGCCTGTGAGGGACAGAGGGGACTGGACTCCTTGGCCTCCGCGTTCCTGACTACCTCAAGCTTTTCCTACGTCTTTCTATTAGCAGTTAAACTTTTTCCCTTCAGAGGAATGTTGATGAGAATCTCACGGTATAAAGCTAATCTGCCCTCCGGGTTCCCCACCCGCTGAGCAGCCTTCCAGCCTCAGGGCTCAGAACACATTTAGAAACCACGGCCGCCACCTCCACCGGCAGGTACTCCAGGTGCTCTTCATGGGTGGGCTTCCTGGAGTGATGGGTGCACAGAGCCCACTTGGCAGCCAGAGGTGGGCATGGGGGCATAAGGGCCCTTTCCTCCAGTGGGAGCATGGGGACGGGGCCTCAGCATCTGTAGCAAGACCACTCCCTGGGCCCCAGTACTGAGGACCCACCTTGCCTGGTACTGGGAGCTCTGACCTCCAGGGCACTATGCCCCCTGACACCGTGCATGCACCTCTGCATGTGGTCTGCTCCCTACCCATGCCTGGCGCCTCGCTTGGGCTGCTCAGCTAGTCCCTGGAGTTCCAGGCCTCACCCCTAGATCCACCCCTGAGAAACTGAGGCCGGGTCCGGGAGGCCCCTCTGTCTCCAGCATTCCCATGCCCATGTCTGCCCTGCATCCTCCTCTCTCACCTAAAATTCCCCTGGGGGGAAGGGCATTGCCTGGCAGAAGCACCAGGACTGCCTCTACCTCCTGCAGGCCTCACCTCCCCACATCTTAGAGACCTTCCTCCCTCCCTTCCTGGTGTCCCTCAGGATACTGGTGACCTTGACCCTCCTGTGACCCATCTGCCATTCATCCTTGGAAAAGCATAGCAGAGGCTGTCAGATCCCCCATTCTCCTCAGGGGTCTGCCTCTATCCACACTGCCCCCGACCCCATCTGTCCTGGGTGCTCGTGGCTGTTAGTTGTCTGAGTTAGGGTGGCATAGACACAGGCTGCCTGTCCTGCAGATCTGGAGCTGAGACCAACCTATGAAGACAATGTTCTAAGTAGAGGGGCCAAAGGATGCCCCATGAGCCCAGCAGCCCCCTCCACCACAATGTGCTCACGGGGGCCTGGGGCAGTGATGAGGCTAGACCACGAGAGGGCTCTGGGAACAGGAGTCCCCATGCAGGAGCCCCAGAGCCTGCACCCGACTCTGCCCACAGGTCTCTGAGGATCGGCCTGCAGATCTCCCTGGACTACTGGTGGTGCACAAATGTTATCTTGCAAGGGGTGGAAGAGGTTTGTCCTGGCCTGGGTGCATGGCGGGGGCACGCTAGAGGTGGTGGGTGCTGAGGGGGACTAAGGAGGTGGTCACCTGTGCCCCATCCCTTCCCTCCCTGCCTGTTGTCAGAACAGCCCGGGGTACTCAGAGGTGATGTCTGCATGTCACCAGCGGGCAGCTGATGCCTTGGTGGCGGGGGCCATCAGCAACGGCGGCCTCTATGTGAAGCTTGGCCAGGGGCTCTGCTCCTTCAACCACCTGCTGCCTCCCGAGTACATCAGTACCCTGCGTGTGCTGGAGGACAGGGCCCTCACCCGTGGCTTCCGTGAGGTGGATGAATTGTTCCTCGAGGACTTCCAGGCCCTGCCCCGTGAGCTCTTCCAGGAGTTCGACTACCACCCAGTGGCTGCCGCCAGCCTGGCTCAGGTGCACCGAGCCCGGCTACATGATGGCACCACTGTGGCTGTGAAGGTACGTGGGGCCCGCCTGGTGCTATGGTGGGCTCCGGGGCCCGTGGGGCAGCCCGGATCCTTGCTGCACCCTCAACTGGTGCAGGTGCAGTACATCGACCTACAGGACCGCTTTGACGGGGACATCCACACCCTGGAGCTCCTGCTGCAGCTGGTTGAGCTCATGCACCCCAGCTTTGGCTTCAGCTGGGTCCTCCAGGTAACAGCCGCCCATGGGCAGGGAGGGGCAGTGGTCCTCAACCCTGACCCCCCCAGCTATACCCATTTGCGGCCCTTAGGACCTGAAGGGGACCCTGGCCCAGGAGCTGGACTTCGAGAACGAGGGCCGCAATGCCGAGCGCTGTGCGCGGGAGCTGAGACACTTCCACTACGTGGCAGTCCCCCGTGTGCACTGGGACAAGAGCAGTAAGGTGGGCACCAGGCCTCCTCCTGGGTGGGGGGAGTGGCACAGGCCTGCTGAGCCCAGCCTCTTGCTCTCTCCTAGCGTGTGCTGACGGCAGACTTCTATGAAGGCTGCAAGATCAGCGACGTGGAGGCCATCCAGAGCCAGGGGCTGGCAGTGCAGGATGTGAGTTGGCATGTGCGGGGCGGCGCAGGGCGGGGCGTGTGCTGCCTGTGTCCACTGCACATCCATCCTCTCCCCAGATAGCAGAGAAGCTGATCCAGACTTTTGCTGAGCAGATATTTTACACGGGCTTCATCCACTCTGACCCCCACCCTGGCAATGGTAGGAAATTCCCCAGGGGGTGTGGGGTCTCGGGTGGGGGTGGCATGAGCCAATGTGCTATGTTCCTAGTTCTGGTGCGGAAAGGCCCGGACGGGAAGGCAGAGCTGGTGCTGCTGGACCACGGGCTCTATCAGTTCCTGAACGAGAAGTAAGCCTGGGGTAGGGGCAGGTAGAGGAGCCTTTCCCTGGGCTGGGGCCTTTCCTGCCCTGGGGGTCTAGGCTCATCAGGGCCTGGCCCCCCACAGGGACCGGTCAGCCCTGTGCCAGCTGTGGCGGGCCATCATCCTGCGGGACGACGCCGGGATGAAGGCACATGCCGCCGCCCTCGGGGTGCAAGGTGAGGGCCTATGCAATGGCTGCCTGGGTGGGTTGGCATGGCTGGGCACAGCCCTCACTCAGGCCTACCTGCCTCCCCAGACTATTTGCTGTTCTCCGAGATGCTCATGCAACGGCCTGTGCGCCTGGGGCAGCTGTGGGCCTCCCACCTACTGAGCCGCGAGGAGGCGGCCTACATGCAGGACATGGCTCGTGAGCACTTCCAGGGCATCATGACAGTACTCAAGGCCCTGCCACGGCCCATGCTGCTTGTGCTGCGCAACATCAACACCGTGCGCGCCATCAACGCGGCCCTTGGCACGCCCGTGGACCGCTACTTCCTCATGGCCAAGAGGTGGGTGTGTGGGGGGGCTGCCCTAGGGGGTGGGGCGGGGCCAGGCTGGTGCTACACACCCCTGCTGTGTCTGGCGCAGTGCTGTCAAGGGCTGGAGCCGCCTGGTGGGCGCGGCATACCAGGGCATCTATGGCATCAGCCTCCTGCGCCACATCAAGGTCATCTGGGAGATGGTCAAGTTTGAAGTGGCCCTGAGGTAAGTGGATATGTGTGGTTGCCAGGGGCACCTGGCCAGGGCCTGCTCCCCCAGCCTGTGACTCCTCCACTCATCCCCCCAGGCTGGAGATCCTTGCTATGCGGTTCACTGCCCTCCTGGTTCGTGTTCTGGCCCACCTGGGCCTCATGCCCCAGGCCGAGGAGCTCTACCAGTACCTGGAGACTTAGGGAGCCAGGATGTGCAGAGAGCTGCCCAGGGCCAGCAGGACTCGCCGATGGAGCTGCCTGTGCAGACACTTCAAGACCCAGGGCGACCAGAGCAACTATGGCCTGAGCGTGGGAAACACCACAGCCAGGCTAGGAATACACTCAATGAAAAGACACACTTGTCTCAAATCCTTCTTGTGTTTTGTACAAAAATGGGGGTGGGAAGCAGCACACGGGCTAGAAATGGGCGGTGACACGATCCGTCTCCAGCAAGTCATCCAGGATCTGCAGGGGAGGGAAGGGTGAGGTGCGTGCAGGCAG